GCCAGTTCTCATCCTCCAGCTCCCCAGATACTCCGCGTACTAAAGTTGCACTACAAAGTGGCCAGTTCTCAGCTTCCAGCTCCCCAGATTTCTCCGCGTACTAAAGTTGCCCTACAAAGTCGCCAGTTCTCAGCTTCCAGCTCCACAGATGCTGCGCCTGCCACGAAATCTGCACATGGAGGTTCACAAAGTGCTGTGCCTGCCATGAAGTCTGCACCTCGAGGTTCACAAAGTGCTGTGCCTGCCACGAAATATGCACGTGGAGGTTCACAAGGCGCTGTGCCTGCCACGAAATTTGCACATGGAGGTTCACAAAGTGGTGTGCCTGCCACGAAATCTGCGCGTGGAGGTTACAAAGTGCTTCGCCTGCCACGAAATCTGCGCCTCGAGGTTCACACAGCGCTGTGCCTGCCACGAAATCTGCGCATGGAGGTTCACAAAGTGCTGCGCCTGCCGCGAAATCTGCGCCTCGAGGTTCACACAGCGCTGTGCCTGCCACGAAATCTGCGCATGGAGGTTCACAAAGTGCTGCGCCTGCCGCGAAATCTGCGCCTCGAGGTTCACACAGCGCTGTGCCTGCCACGAAATCTGCACATGGAGGTTCACAAAGTGCTGTGCCTGCCACGAAATCTGCACATGGGGAGGTTCACAAAGCGCTGCACCTGCCACGAAATCTGCGCATGGAGGTTCACAAACTGCTGCGCTTGTCACGAAATCTGCACATGGAGGTTCACAAAGTGTTGCGCCTGCCATGAAGTCTGCACCTCGAGGTTCACAAAGTGCTGTGCCTGCCACGCAATCTGCACATGGAGGTTCACAAAGTGCTGCGCCTGCCACGAAATCTGCACATGGAGGTTCACAAAGTGCTGTGCCTGCCACGTAAACTGGAGCTAGAGCTCTTGAAACTAGAGCTGACTGGATGATGAGTGGTGTATGATGAGTGGTGTCTGATGAGTGGTGTATGATGAGTGATGTATGATGAGTGGTGTGTGATGAGTGGTGTACGATGAGTGGTGTATGATGAGTGGTGTATGATGAGTGGTGTATGATGAGTGGTTTTTGATGAGTGGTGTATGATGAGTAGTGTATGATGAGTGGTGTATGATGAGTGGTTTTTGATGAGTGGTGTATGATGAGTGATGTATGTTGAGTGGTGTATGATGAGTGATGTAAATGTTCGTAACACGGAAGTTCCTCTAAACTTCCTTTGGCTAGAAAACCCTGATTCTTGCACACTTGCACCGTTTTTGCCGTGAAAGACCCACTGTGCCGCTGTGCCCATCCGCATGACAAGCGACATCCAGGGCTCAGAAGTCGGCCATTTCCACTGGGAGCCTGGGACCGCGTGAACAACTCGTTGGTCTTTGGAGACTGACACCAACAGTTAGTACTTTACTAGCTTCTTGTTACTACTAGTAAGGCACTTGTTACTAGAAGCGATGCACTTGTTATTAATAGCTTCTTGTTCAACCAACAGTTGTGGTTTTTTTTCTCAATGCCTCGCTTCGGTCGAAGGAGAAGTCAATTGTAGAGACTGTGTTTGGGTCCTGTGTGCCCTGGGTGCATGAGGTAGCGGTTAGCTGCAGGAGTGAAGCATTTGCAAGATGACAACCCAAAGAAGGAATGTTGGCACACTTGGAGTGAAACCGAGTGAAGACGATGGATTTGTTCTATCTGAAGGCCTTTTGCCAGTGTACCCGTTCCGAGCTTTTTGTTAGCCTCTTCTTGTGGAGGCTGTGCGGCAGGGCCTAAGTATTTAGTAGCTACCAAGCTCTTGGGTTTGGATGCAGAAGGGTTCAGGCTTCATGGCTCAGGCTTGCTGATTTGGTTCCTAGATAGCGGTGCACTTGTTACTACTAGTGATGCACTTGTTACTAGTAGCTTCACCTAGTAGCGATGGTCTCCAACCTAAACCGTGTCAGGTTAAGGACCGAACGAATCTCCGCAGGACATCACAGGACGTCCTGCCACGTGACTCGTTTCACGCACCACAGGGTGCTTGACGAACAAGCGGCCGGCTGATGGTGAACTACAGCTAAAAAGAGAGAGAGAGAGAGAGAGCCCAATGGAAGTGGAGGAAGTTGTTTACAAGATGGAAGGAAGTCTCCTTGTTACTAGTAGCGAACATTGTTCCTAGTAGTAATGCCAGGGGTGCCCCTAGTAGCGCCCTTTGCTCCTAGTAGCGTCCTTGCCACGACGAAAGGAAGGAAGGCCCAAATTCCCTGACTCCTCGCTGGCCTCGCTGGTCAGGTCCATGTTTCCGGACGTGCGCCTGTCAAGCTTACAGAAGAAACCAATACTTATCGCTTATCGCTTCTCGCTTGATCCGTGAAGTGGGTAACTTGTGATTGCACCCGCCAGGCCGAGGAGTGGAAGGAACAATTAGAAGCCATGAAGGCCTTTTGGGGGGCTCAAAAAGAAGCTATTAGTAACAAGTGCCACGCTACTAGGAACAAGTGCCACGCTAGTAGTAACAGGTGCCTTACTAGTAGTAACAAAGAAGCTATTAGGAACAAGTGCCACGCTAGTAGTCGGAGTCCGAGTCAGAGACGTCATGAGTCATGACGGTTCGATTAGGTTCGGCAACCTTCATCCATGTTGTATGTTTGTGTTTTTCTGACATGTGTTGATTCCCTTTGGGGGGGGCATGTCACGGGTTTGTTACATGTTGGTGTCGAGAACACGTCCAAAATAGAGAACTTCATTATCTTCATCCATTGATCTAACACATCTTGGCTCACTGTCCAAACGTTCAACTAATTCGAACGGGAAAAAAGAATATATGTATATATATATAAATATCCTGTCACTGATCCATCCTGTTCCTGGCCGCTTTGGGCTGTCAGGAAGCTCGGCGACTCGAGGAGGAAGCGCAGCGGGAGAAGGAGGCGCGTTGTGGGCGGCACGATGTTTGCGTGATGATTGGTGACCATATCACGAAAGCTAGCCTTAGCTAGCTGGAGTTGCTCTTGCTTTAGCAAGTTAAGTGACGGGGTGGACGCACCTCAGAAACCTCAAATAATTGATTAAATCAATCTTATGGACCCCCCCCCCCCC